GAAAGCGCATGGCTTCTTGACCATCAACAATTTATTTTTAGAGGCACCAGCAATTCATGTCTTGGTGATGTTTTAGTCAGCTTGCTTCCTGTTATAAAGAGATTTTTAAATTTCAGGAGCAACTGCTTTTGGGAATTTGCTCTTCTTAGTTCACGAGCTACATTTTTTGTGAACCAATTGTCTCCCTGATGTGGTTAAATTTTTGCACTGTATTTTGTACCACAGAACTTCAAAATCTTGTTTCAAAACACCATAAAAATCCCTAATAATAGCTGTATCGTAATCATTGAGCTATTATTTTGTTGTAGGCTTTTTTTGTGTTGCTTTTAATTGCGTGATAAGCATAACATTGAGAGTCTGATTTCTATTATCCAAAATAGAAAGGGGCACACTTTCCGCAATAATGGTCCGAATTTCAAAAGTAAAACATAAAGGCCCCTACACAATCATGTACGTTCCGACCTGGCGGTTTTAACTGGAGTGGGAAACCGGCGTTGTAACCGCCGCGCAAAACCGCCGTTCGACAGGTCGCCGCGTCATCCATATCACGTGCGGTTTAACCACAGCTCAAGTCAAATAAAAAAAAAAGTGGAGTGTACTGACAATGAAGCGTGTTCTTTACTGCACATCGTGACACAGAGGCCAAACCTGTACTGAACCCCTTCAGTGAATGCATTATGTGGGAAGTTTAAAAATCTCTATAATAAAAAAAACACAAAAAACAACAACCACAAATTCTGCTCGGATCTTGACTTAACATTGGGTCGCTCGTTTAAAAAATGCAATCAGATTTTATGTGCGGTAAATCGTTTTAAAATTTTGAAGATATTGGAAGTAACAAGATAAGCCGGCTAAGCCTGTGAGTTCACGCAAAGGCTGTCGTCGACGGAACATGCTGAACAGTAGTCAGAAAATACATTTAAACATGTTGAAACCGCCGATTCGGCCTTCCGGTTTAACTTTTTTACTTACAGTTTTTTATCCACATCTGCGGTTCTGCTGCCAGGTTTGCCTTTCCATTCTGAGCCGGTAGTTTTGGAACGTACATGTGTAGCCGCCTTAACAGATTTTGTTTTAAAGAGTTCTTTAACGTAGTATTGTAAAAAAAAAAAAAAAAGATTAAACATGGAAAGTAGGTTAGTTCTTACATGAATGACTCAAGAGGGTGAATGGCAAAGTGTCTTACCATACACAAGCTCAGCTGGAGAACAATCAGGGTCCACTTGCCAAGAAAAGCGATGTTCTACAAGAACCATGAGCAATTTTGCCACCAAGTGAGTACCAGTAGTGCACGCTTTGAGTGCTGCCTTGAACTGACGTTGGACACGTTCCACCATGCCATTTGCCTGGGGGTGATAAGCTGTGATTGTATGAGTCTCAATGCCTAACGTCTTGTTACACTCTTCCCAGAGATTAGAAGTGAAATACCTACCGCGGTCTGATGTAATGTCTTTCGGTTAAGGACTTAGCAGTGTATAAGAATAAAGACAATGGTGGTGTACTTGTGTGTCGATGAATGTTGGATGATTGGCAGGCATGGCATTCTTTGCACCACTTGCGTATGTCACGTTTCCTACCGTGCCATACAAAACGTTGGCTGATTGCTAGTTGAGTGGGACGTGCGCCTTCATTTGAGAGTCCACGAATATGGTCAAAGACGGGAAGAACCTAAGAATTGGTTAACACCAGCCTCTGTACACTAATGGATACATCATAGAGCTGTGTCGACGCCCCAAGTTGAAGTCTTGTAGTTGGAGACCAGTGGAATCTTTGCAAAAGACCTCCGTTTCGCCAGATTGAATCTGATCTTAAGCGAGGCGATTGAAATTACTCGCTGAGGCGAGGTGGTGTTCTGACATTGAGTTATTCTGAAACGTGACAGGAAGATGATATCAATAGTGCCATGCCAATATTATATCCACGAGCGCCTAATTCTACCTCCTGGCGACACGATTAGTGAATGCTTTGAAGTAAAGAACACCAGAAGAGGGCATGAATGGGCAACGCTAGATCTAGAAAACGTTATGAAAATAATTGCCAAACTGGAAAAAATATTCATGACTTCAGTTAAACTAAACTAAGTCAATGTTTCGATCCGACCCAGTTTTTCAGTTTTCGGAAACGGAAGTCAATAAAAAAAAGTGGCTCGGTATGACTCAAATACGCAAACCCATTAGAGCTACACGCATAGATTAGAACGTTCTATGTGCTCAATGGGTATCATGTTGGACTAGGGAGCGGATGGCCCTGGTATGAATCCCAGACGAGGCGTTCTTGAACTCGGGTCGTTGAGAGTTGTCAAGGTTCTCAATCCATAAATAACAACCTCCCCCCCCACCCCCAACCTCATATTTTGACTCGGTCCCATCAGAATCCGACGTTAGTTTCGGAGGTCCTGCCTTTTGAATGACCTAATAGTGTTGACAAGGGCGTTAAAAAATCAATACGGTGCTGGGCCAAAGTAAGTGCTTAAACCACGAACCAGCACATCTCCCCACTAAACTATCTAACAATAGAAGTCACCAGCAACGTAGCTTCGTGAGCTTAAGATAGGATAAGATAAGATACCTCTTTATTGTCCAGATCCTGGCACATTCATTTGGTGTTTCACCACACACACACACACACACACACACACACACACACACACACACACACACACACACACACACACACACACACACACACACACATACACACACACTCACACACCCACCAAAGAGGGAACAGCTGAACCTTTCAGAACTCTGAGGATCCATATCTAGCTGTAAATTTTATTACTCACCCCCTCCCCCACTCACAGGCAAATTACCACCCCACCCCCCCCCCCCTTCCCCAAAAGTTAAACCAACTTTCATTTTGAACCACAGTCCCACGGCTGGCTGTCCTCAAAAGTAGGTCAGTTTTGTTTCGTGTAAGAACCCAGGTCCAACTAGCGCACAGAAATCTACCTTCTCTTCATTAGTTATTCGTTCTTGTCCCACAAACAACTCTCTTGCCAGTCACTACAAAGATATGAAATTAGGATACACGTGTATACAAAAGTGTAGTCGACAGCCGTGGAGAACGAACTGTACTAAGCGTTATTTGTGTCACGACGCAGTGGAATCAAGCGCTCGTCAACTTTTAAACAGGTGGAGTTATTGATATTTATTGCTTTCTTTGAAAAAGTACTCACTTATCTTTAATATAAGTCGAGATAATATTGGCGAATGAAGGAAGTGAGTGTCGCCTGGTTTCTGAGATAAAATTAGCGAAAAAGAAAAGGTGACTCCCATAGCATGGCAGTTTTGGGATACTGAAAACTTACAGTTATTGTGCCTTTTTAACAAATGTTTGTCTGTTAAATCTGTACCGAAAATGTTTCAAACGTTGACATAAAAGGTTCCGAGCCTTTAAAAAAGGAACATTATTTTAAAGCCCAACAGCCAGAAAAATGATTTCATTTATTTTGACGAGGGCCTGATTTCACCACGATGCTTCACATTTAAACCGCATCTTAGTATCAGACAAGGGTAATTTAAGTCAGGCCAGAGTGGTCATTTAAAGTATAAAGGAAAAAAAGAAGCAAAAGGAGTATAAAATTTTAATAAAGGAAGAAATTAAGTATCTTCAAACAAAAGTAAATCTAAATTAATATAGCACCTAAACATCAGGAAGTAGACGTTCATAGTATGTGTTAGTACATTATTACACGCACTGGCTCCATGTATCACCTCGTATGAAAAAAGTATACGTTCGTACTGAAATATGTTGGAGAACTATATTCTAGTATATCATAGTCTAACAAAATTACTTTAATTGACTCCTATTTTTGTCTTCTTTAGGTACTGTTTTCTTCGAACTTTCACCGGGCGCTGACTGAACGAGGACGGAACCACCTCCAAATGGCACACAGCAGACACACTACCAGCCTGAAGATAGCGTGTGTTGTCATACTATGTCTCTCGAGTGCTAAAGCAACAGTCGGCAATTTACCTTTCCCAGATCCTCTGGAGGAATTATTGCGGAGTGACCATGGTCTGCAAAAGGGGAATGAGAGTGAACAAGATTCACTGGGACTATTTATGCGAGATCAAACGAACAGATTGAACTTACACTCCGTTATGGAGCAAATAATTGATGAACAAAGTTTTGAGAACCGTAATATCCAAAGGTGGCTATCTCCAATCGTTGGAGCATCGAACATAAATGTTACAACACAATTTAACGTCTCTTCGGAATGCCAGCACCAGCTTAAAGGATGGATCTCGAATATGCAACGGTCGTCAGGGTGGGCTTTGAAGATGCTTGACTCCTGGGGAAAGATTCAAGCCGGCGTTTTGAGTGGTCGTCTGCAATGGTTGGGGAATTTCCGCGGGTGTTATAGCGTGCAAGGGTTCCTAGACGATGGGCAGACTGATCTTGTGAAAGGCAGGTATTGCTCCGTGCAATCAAGCGTGCAAAGTCGTGTGGAGCAATACAAGTTCAACGTGTTCGAAGGTGTCTGCGTACCTGACGCGTGTCATTCTAAAGATATTCAAGTCTTTGTTGATGTCCTCCTACACATGACTCGAGTAGACGAAGTTTTGCTGAATACATACACGTCGTGTAAAGAAGAAAAAACAACATTCACAACTAGCGTAATCGTCTATATTGTTTTTTTCCTATTGCTGCTGCTGCTCGCATTTACTGCCACCCTCGTAGACTTAAAATCCGCGAGATCTGCGCCGGTGACTGTGGCGTGTGACATACAAGCGGATAACCATGATAGAAATGGCGTTGTTAACGGGAACAGCTCACTTGAGGGATCAGCCTACCATACTGCCAACGCCAAGGAAAAGACCGAAGACGAGCGCTCGTTGCTGCTTCGTTATCATTCAAATAAAAAGAAACTGAGAATTGGAAAAGAGTTACTTTTGAGCTTTTCTTTGAAATCAAACTGGAGCCAATTGTTTTGCCTCAAACCCCAACAAGGAGCAGGTTTTCTCAACTGCTTAGAAGGAATCCGTACTATCACCATGGTGTGGATTATTTATGAGCACGTCCTTTTGAATACAGCTGCAACTGCAGAAAACGTTACCGACTTTATTAAAGACAAAGTAGATTCCCTATGGACACCGATCGTGTCCAACGGCACTGTTTCGTGTGATACCTTCTTCACTATGAGTGGCCTGGTGCTTACATACTCGATGCTTAATTCGATGAAAAAATTGAACGGCAAAGTGAAATGGTTCCAGTATTACGCACTTCGCTACTTCAGACTCACTCCGCTCATGATCATTTTAGCGGTCTTCTTCATAACGACATACCCATCCTGGACATCAGGCCCTTGGTGGGCGTCCCAGAGCGAGCATGCAATGGAATGTCATGATACATGGTGGCGGGACTTGCTCTACGTGAACAACTTCCTGGGAGGCTGCTACCAGGCCACGTGGTATCTAGCTGTAGACATGCAGCTGTATATGATTAGCCCTATCTTCCTGTTATCCCTCTACAGAAAACCTGCTGTTGGCATCTTCCTTCTCACTGTGTGTACTTTAGCATCCATCTCTTACACGCTTTATCTTACTTATACGAAACATATAACTCATATGCTCGTGAAAATGATACCTAGAGCGAGTCAGTTGGTTGTTCGAGAACAGTACTACGTCTTACCATGGTGTCGTGCTCCTCCCTATCTGATCGGCATGGTAATAGGCTATGTGCTTCACAGAACCCGTATGAAAATCTCCGTAAATTGGAGGTGGCAGATCTTTGGGTGGATCATCTTCCTACTAATACAAATTAGCAATTTCTACAGCATCCAACACGCATTCGTATTTTATCCTGACTACTCACCTGTCAGCCCGGCAGAGAACAGTGCATACATTTCCCTGTCACGTCCAGCGTGGAGTCTCGGAGTATGCTGGGTCATAGTCATCTGTGTCACCGGAAATGCTGGGGTAATCAACTCCTTTCTGTCTTTGCCTATCTGGGCCGTCGGCGGCAGACTATCGTATGCCGGCTACCTGACGCACTTGTTTGTTGTGTTTTGGTACCTACGCAGCAGGACAAGTAATCAGTGCATAGATTACTGGAGTGTGTTCGTAGATACCTCGGGGATTCTTCTCATTACATATTTCATTGCTGTATTTCTTACCTTGTTGATAGAGATGCCCCTAAGGAAAATATTGGGAGTGCTGTTCAAGAAGTGAATTTTGGCGCTATTATGACATGTTTCTTTCACCGCCATTCCTGCGCAGAAATAATTTGGGCTCAGAATCGAAACCCCAATCAAGCGTTCTTGATCTTGTTTGGGAATGTTCAAGGAACTCCCAAGGAGCGATAAAACCCACACAGTGTTTCTGTTACGCTGGAAAGCTGGAAATGTACCATAATTATAAGTCACACAATTTAATGAGTGCTTTGTTGTTGCTGTTGTTGTTGTTGTTGTTGTTGTTGTTGTTGTTGTTGTTGTTGTTGTTGTTGTTGTTGTCATTTTAAAAATGAGAGTGAGAGATATTTTCACTATCTGCAGTCATGCTGATTTTGGTTTATGCATGAAAAATATCCATTAGTTATTGCCTTTTTTCTGTTTGTGCATATACTATCACCCAGAAGCGAGGAACAATTCGCTGACTTCTACCCCCAGTTGCAGAGACATTTTGACCGAAAGGGACAACCTTTCATTTCTGTTTTCTAAATTTGAGCCTGTGTAGAATGCATTAGGTTCATAATAATACTCATATTATTGTAGACATGATTAACCTATCTAAAACTAGGGACATTTTTTGGCAAAGTCACTGTTTCCTTTTTTTACGTATGAGAAAAGACAGGGCATAAACAACAAGCATAGTACTATAGACAACTAAAGATCTCGTCACTGTGTGGTCAGTGCATTCATGTTTTAAGGCAACTTGCACTGCATGCTTCCCAGGCAGTTGAGATTATTTCAGAAAACTATAGTATCATGTCTGCTGGCATAATATGGACTTCCTTGGTAAAAGTTTCACGGCGCTCACAACTGCATATGGTCATGCATATGAGGGCGCAGGACCCTGTTGTTTTCACATTTTGTATTTTCAGTTTGGGTAGGAATTAATTATTTTGAATTTTGCCCGATTGGCGGCCGAAGTCTACTCTAATCGATTTTAGGACCACTTTGGGATCTTTAACATGTGCAACTTGCACACAGAGCCACCAATATTTTTGTGCCCTTATCCGAGAAGGCTACGTCCTCGATCTTACATACCCTTAAGATCAACGATGTGGTTGAATGACAGCAGAAAAAAGGAGCAGGGCGTATCAGTCA